TATAGAACTCAAATGCATAAACACGAGGGTGTCGGGGACGGTTACTCGAGTTTTTTCGGATTTCTCTACAGAAATTGCTTTTCACTCCAAATTGAATTGGCTAAAATGCTTCATAAGAATAAGTTCTTTGAGTATCAGCATTAGTTCATAATCCCTTCTATTCACGGAAATATTTGGCCTGACTAGAATTGTCGGTTTGGCTTTACCTTATAACTCGAGTAAAGACGAAACACCTTTGTATTTACGTATTTATTTATTAATTATTGTTCATTGAACGGGAGTTGGTTTGTTCCCCTTGAAAAGTCAACTAATTTCCGATCAATGACAATGATTACATGTTTTTAATTTAATTTTTCCTTTTACAATTGTAATTTTGTCTTCATGATGATTTAATTCCAGTCCCCGTTAAGTTAAAACATTATTAAACATTTACTTTCAAGTTACTTCAAAACATCTTTCAAATATAACTTACCAGTATGGATTCACTCTTTTAAAATAATTCTACTTTAATTAAACTTAGGAGATAATATAATCAATTAATCGATATTGTTCAGGAAATAAATTATTATTAACTAACTTTGCAGCAATTGCACAAGTAGTAGTAACTTGTTTTCGCACTAAATGAATTTAAGATCATACAACATTATATATATATAATATATAAGTTTTTAATATAAATTATTTATTATTTTGCTTTGATAAACAGAAGAAAAATTAAGTTGTAAAATAAATGCCTGAAAATCAGGACAATAGTGTTACGAATTTGCTATTTAAAAAGCTAATGTTAGTTCAATTATAAATTAAATGGTTTTATTTCTCGCGCAGTGCAGCGCGTGACGAATATTAAAAGAAAGCTAAGCCGGAAAATTGAAAATACAAGAGCGCGTGCATTAAATAAATAAATATCTCTTTTTGATTTCGAGAAAGTACTGGAAAATTCTAGCGCGTGATTTTAAAATCTTATAAAAGGAGGAAAACATCTCAGTTCGTTGTAGTTGCTTAGTTTGTTGTTGTTTAGAAAACTACTGTTGTTGATTGTAGCGAATTCGCGGATTAGCGTTCTTTAGCTGTTTTGAATTACGTTCTATTGGACATTTGAGTAGTTAAAAGAAAACTACTGTGAGATATTGTAATACTGCGTGATAATTTGAGAAAATTTAAGCATTTTTGTTGTGATAATAATAAATTTTTGTTCATTTTTCATCGGACTTGTGCATTCATTTCATAACGAACCCGTACGCACGCAACGATTTTTGGTGTCAGAAGTGGGATATTGAATGCCAATCACAAGAGCGATGGAAGAACAGTTAAAACAATTCATAATAGCCTTTGCTACATTTAAAGAAGAAATGAAAGACTCTGTTAAAGAAGAAATTAGGTCCGTTAAAGAAGAAATGAAGTTGGGCCAGGAATCTGTTAAAGAAGAAATGAAGTTGGGCCAGGAATCCGTTAAAGGAGAAATGAAATTGGGCTAGGAATCCATTAAGGAGGAAATGAAAGTAGGTCAAGAGGAATTGAAGAGAGAAATTACTTGCATAATAGAAAACAATTTCCAAGCTATGGAAGGAAGAATAGACACAGTTGAAGACAAAGTTGGAGAAATTCAAGAAAAAGTTTCTGCGGTAGAGCAACAAATTGAAAAAAAAGAGTATGTGTCTGCCCTCAAGAACATATCGAACAACAAACTTGAGTGAAGGGTTTCTGCTGCTGTTGCCAAAAGGAAGTTGACACTTTAAAGAAGAGCATAGCGACAGAAGGAAGCAATTCTGAGGGTTTTAAATTTTTACCGATGCCTGCTCGTCCCATCTCTGAAACTATTCTGCACATATGATGGGAAGACCATCCTGGCAAGTGTATAAGGACCACAATTTTCTATATCGTTTCGGATGTGAATGGATGGGATTCCCAAACTAAGGCCTGTCATCTCGCCGCTTCTCTGAGAGCAGACACAGCGGATATCCTGCAGACACTTCCAGAAAACCAAAGACTTGACTTGGAAGCTCTATCCGGCGCATTGGAGCTGCGCTTTGGCGAGAAATGTTTAAAGGACTACAGCAGGCTTCAATTAAAATCCCAGGTTTCGGCACCACTGCCCTCTTCCCAAGGACTGCACATCCTGGGCAGTACAATCCCTGGACAGGAAGCCAAACTTACAACTGTGGCATAAATGCATTAATAAGCATTACATTACAATAATAAACAACATGAACAATAAATGCAATAAATAAAACAAATCAAATGCTATCAAATACAAATCAAATACTAAATGCAAATCAAATACTAAATACAAATCAAATACTAAATGCAAATCAAATACTAAATACAAATCAAATCAAAGACACATTTAAAAACAAAAAGGACCATGGTCTTACACTATTTACAATTATTTACATTATGTACTATGGCCATAGTAATGAGCTAACCTGTCGTAATGACCGACTTTAGGTTTAGAGTTCGAAGACTTACGGAGACGTCATTCAGTCTGTTCAGTACTGTACATGGACCATCCGAAGGTGACTGTAGTTTAGGACTGAGTCCCTTTTCGTTGAATCGGGTTCCACAACCACACCTTGTCTCCTTTGTTGGATCTATGTCCTAGTAGCTCTCATGTTGTATCTGGACTTCACTTTCTCCGTCACCAAGGTTGACTCGCTTTCGTACGGAACGGTGCATCACTTCAAAACGGGCCTGGACATTTTGGATGTATTCCTCAGGCGATGAAGGCGCAATCCGTAGGGTCGATCAAACAGGCGGTCACAAGGACAGACGAAGGTCATCAACCGAAGGAGCATTTGTGATGGAGAACAGTTGGTAGTCTGGTGTTCTCTCCGACCCTAGTATGATTTCGGCAGCTTAGTCTGAGCTAGGGTCTTTCAGACAAGGCGTCGGCGTTTCCAGGTGAGGATCCCTTTCTGACGATGGATAGTCACTGTCCTCAGATGCTGACTGAAAAGTTTATTGTTTTTGAAGTCTAAGGAAAAATTGTATTTCCTTAAAAAGCCCAATCCGAGTATGCATGGATCTGTGATATCCGCCACATATGCCGTGTGATGGTAGGCGGTACTTCCAAACGTGATGCTTACGTTTAACTTCCCAGTTATATCGATCTTATCACCAGACGCAGTCTGAAGGGTAACACAGGATGGCATCCAAATAAGTTTATCTTTAAACTGTTCAGCTAAATCTTTCCTAATGATGGTAACATTAGCTCCTGTGTCAATGATCATATTGCAAGGAACTCCATCGATATTCCCATTGACGGACAGTCCGTTATTGTTGCCACTCACTATAGAGATCTTAAACGCTTTAAAACAGGATTTTTCATTATCTGGCAACCTGCGTTCCTTGATATGGTCATTAATTTGTTTCCTGCATCGTTCCTCAGAAATTGTCTCAATTTTCGTACCCTGGGGTGTTCTGCAATTCTTTCGTACGTGGCCTTCAGCTCCACAGTTCCAGCACTTTGGTTTCTTGTCAGTCCTTTTCCTTCCCGTGGCATTTAATTGTCTGTTTAAATCGTATGCCTTATTTTCCGTGCTCTGAGAAGTTCTGCAGTTCCTTCGTAGGTGGCCTTCAACACCGCAATTCCAGCACTTTCTCGAAATCAAAAAGAGATATTTATTTATTTAACGCACGCGCTCTTGTATTTTTAATTTTTCCGGCTTAGCTTTCTTTTAATATTCGTCACGCGCTGCACTGCGCGAGAAATAAAACCATTTAATTTATAATTGAACTAACATTAGCTTTTTAAATACCAAATTCGTAACAATAGCTTTTATTTTTAGCTGCACTCCTTTTAAAGCTCTTCGTTCTTGCGCATTACACAGAGATGTGCTTTACTCTCTTGCCTCAACAGAAGAAATAGCTAAACATGACCCTAACAGTAAATGACTATTAATCCAATAAAAGATAAATTCCAGGGGTGTAGAAAGAGGGGGGTAAGGAGGGGCATCTGTCCCCGGGCACAGAATCCAAGGGGCACCAAACTGATGTTACGACATTTTAGAATTAAATGTTTTCCATCCTTGGCAAGCAGTAGGGGGCGCGAAAACTGCAGTTGTCCCTGGGCGCTGAAAACCCTAACTACGACTCTGATAAATTCAAATTTTCAGTAACAGTGTATTAGCAATTTTCTAATATGTTGATGAAAGTTACTATTTACAAAACATTTGTATTGCAGTACCCCATTTTAAATTACACACATTTTATTTCTGTTCAGTTGGTCACACTAAAATTTAATAGCAGTTTAGCCATGGAATTTGGGAATGAAAAAAACTATGGAAAATTATGTTGAATTAAAAAGCAAAAAAAAAATTTGAGATTATTAATGAAACTTTGTTTTCTGCACACCTACAGTTATAAAGTACACACGACTTAATTCTGCTACCATTTTAAAAATTACACACATATTAAAGACATGCAATGAAGAATTAGAACTTTGATCACATAATTTTATACTACACTAAGAAGCACTGAAAAACATTTTATAACTTTAAAACAGAGAGCACATAGCTGCCTGTTTTACACACAGACATATAATACATCATCATATAATTTTTTTTTTTTTCAACACAAATGCATTAGGTTATTCTTAATTACATTCAATATTTTAAAGAATATATAAATTCACATTCAACATCAACTATCGACTTAATGGCAGAAGAGATGTCATCCTAACAGCAGTTATTACTCTTATTTAAATTTTAACAGTACGTCAATTCGTTTATTAGAATTTTCGTATTAAACTCATCAACAATTTTTTTTGTCAGTGAAGTACTATATTTCCAACAATATTCTAATAATGAGGTAGTTTTTATCAATGCTTGTATTTATGAGAATTTCTACTAAGCTGAAACAATGTAAATACTATATATTTAACAGCGTATACATTACAGATTTAAAAATTCTTTAACCTATCAACAAAAAAGTAATTGCAGGAAATCATACACAACTCCCGATAAAATCAGAATGACAGAAAACACATGAGACTATTAAAATACCTTCCACATTAGGTAATCTCCAAAGCACTTGAAACCAAATGAGCCATAGACAAAAGGAGTTTAAGAAACATTTTAGACAAGAAGTCGACATCCCCTGTTATTATAATTAACAATTATAAATGATCAGCGCCATACAGAACGGCGTTATAAGATTTAGTCAAATTTAGCTCTCAGTTGCCGCCTAAGGTTATCACTGGCGGTCGGTAAATTACATAAACACATCGGCCAGATATAAACAACGAAGTGATCGCTATTTAATGTTGATAACTCTGCAATGAGGTTGCCATTTCTAAATCCGTAAATTTACTGTTAATAAATGAATGAATAAATATAATAAATAAATAAAATAAATATAGTGCTAATAAACAAAATGAATGTACGAATTGTAAAATATAACTTCAGAATCGAGTCGAATTCATGTAAAGGAAAATTTTACGACATAGCTTAAATATTTTCAGCTAAAAGGAAAACAGAAAAGAACCCCATCTTACAAGACGATGTATCAAATCAATCTTAATTTAAATGTATTAGTATATAACAATGACAATGAAATTGTATTCAAAATTCCTGTCAATGACGTCTACTCTGCAGGCATTTCTTCTCACAAAGAGAGCGCACTAGACTAATCTAAATAATCTTCGCTTAGCTTATTAACGTTTCAAACGTCATAAATACAGTAATATCATCTTCTCTTCTAAATTAAAAATATTTTTTCTCCCACAGTTTTTAAGGCGTTTTTCCAAATGTAAAATGCATATTTCTTTGCTGCGAATTGTGGCCTTGCAGTCAGTCTCAACATCACTATGTCATCATTCCTCGCTTCCTGTTTCAGGAAGAAAAACTGTATGAACTAGCCCTTCTTAAGGCTCCTATATACCAGGCTGAATCATCAGGCATTCGCGCTCCCAAGTGGGAGATTTAATGGCGGCTTAGTGGTTAAGGTGCAACAATTTTTTTGTTTTTTTTTTTTTTTTTTTTTTTTTTTTTTTTTTTTTTTTGTGTAAAATGGGCGGATGTACAGCTATTAATTGTTCAAATCATTCACGGAAAGGTCATACATTGGTTAAAATTTCCTAAATGAAGAAAGAAAAAAATATGGGTAAATATTGCCGAAGAGACAATTGGAAACCTGGTCCAGGCGCTGAACTTTGCTTAGTAAGTATAATGTTAATTTACGCCTTCATTTAGAGTTTATATCTTCTCTGATGTTTATAATGTGCAAGTAAAGTGAAATTCTTGTTTACAATAACCTGAGTATCTGCTAATTTCTGTAATAATAGCTATAATTAAATTAGTCTAGGGTAATGTACCCGTCGCCAAACATCGCCAATGTAGATGTTTTGAATATGGAAAAGAAATTCTCTTCTTCTAATAAAGCGCGGATTTTGTTTTCCTGTGCTAATTGTGGAATTTATACGAATGTAACATGAAAATCATTAGCATATTGAAATTTATTAAAAAATAAATAATAATTTGGAAAGTCAAGATAAAATCCTGAATGTTGCCTAAAGATATATGTAACATTATACTATACTTGCAACATCGTTGGAATGATATATAATTTTTTTTTTATTTTATAATCACTATTGTTAAAAAGTTAGATGAGTTGTTTATGCACGGTGCCCACTATTGTTTCTTGGTTAAAATAACTTCCAGAAATTTGACATTGACATCTGAAGTCAATAGAATAAATGGCTAAATCGCAGAATAGGCTGCATCAGTCGATGCTGTGTTTACTTCTCTTATGCTTGGACACGCCTTTTTATGACGTAATATTGGTTACGCCTCTTCTTCAAAACAAGTTATAAGTATGCTATAGCTTCGTATTTAAAGAAAACTTATATTATATTTTAACTGAGTTGAAATAGTAGGTTTATAATGTTCTGTGCGAGATTTTTTAAATTGTAAATCTACTTTTGTGTGTGTGTGGTATTGTTAGCATTTAGCGCAACGAATTATCTCTCACAAATGTATTATTAAGATACCAAACGATTGAAAAACGATCATTAGCAAACGATTGAAAATATTGAATGCATGAATTAAAAAATTATAACCGTAACTTCTGAAAATACAGAAAGAATTCTTTTGCTTAAAGAATGTTTTGATTATTCATGAGTGTGTTAATTCGGTGCTTACGCAGAATGGATGAGTATCTGAATCTGGATTTTTCTTTTATCAGTTGGAAGCGAAGAGGATAAAAAAAATGTGTTATTAAGTGGTGTATGGAGAAAAGTTTGATTACAATATCGTAATAAGTGCCCGATTTGTGAAACTGATATGAAACTAGTAGAGCGAAAAGAAAACTGTATAGACATTTTTGAGTGGATGTGTAGAGTTACTGGAGGCAAATGTAAGCATCGAATTTCAAGGTCTCAATTCGAAAGAACTCGTGGTTTGCAAAGAGTAAATTGAGCATGTGTGATGTTTTGCGAAGTTACCTATATGTGGTTGGCGTAAGTGCGGGAATGATGGAATATGAACGGAATTACGTATTGCTAAAAATACGGTGACAGATTAGGAAAGTTTTTGTAGGAGAAGTATGCATGGAGTTATGCTTGAAGGAGAATGTTGATGTTAGGTGAGGAAGGCATGTCATTGTGGAAATTGACGAAAGTAAGTTTGGCAAGCAAAAGTATAATAGAGGGAAAAGAGTCGAAAGAAAGATGGGTTTTTGGTTTGGTTGATAGAGGGACGGATAAATGCGTGTTTAGAGTTGTTGAAAACAGAGGTGCTGAAACGTTGTTGTAAATCATTAAAAGAATGAATGTTGTACCAGGATCGACTGTTACAATCTCGAATTGTTGGAAAGCGTACGACGTTACTCGAGTTCGAAGGGTATGCGCACCTGCAATTCAATCTAGATTGATTTTAATTGATCCAGCAAATTTGTGAGTATATGCGCAATGCAGAGTTTATTGCAATTCTGGGATGTTTTTTTAAGTGAAAATAAATCGACGTGTACATGGTGCAAAGCCAATATAGTGCACAAGCCAATGTGTGTGCGCAATGCCGAGTTTGTGCAATTCTGGGATGTTTTTTAAAGTGAAAATAGATCGATGTGCACATGGAGCAAAGCCAATGTGGTGCGCAATGCCGAGGTTGTGCGCGATGACAAGTTTGTGCAATTCTGGGATGTATTTTTAAGTGAAAATAGATCGATGTGCACATGGGCAAAGCCAATGTGGTCCGCAGTGCCGAGGTTGTTCGCGATGCCAAGAGTTTGTGCAATTCTGGGATGTTTTTTAAGTGAAAATAGATCGATGTGTACATGGGCAAAGCCAATGTGGTGCGCAATGCCGAGTTTGTGCAATTCTGGGATGTTTTTTTAAGTGAAAATAGATCGATGTGCGCATGGGAAAAGCCATGGGCAATTGCGAATTTGTGTAATTCTTTGATGTTTATTTTAAGTGAAAATAGATCGATGTGTAATGGAAAAAGCCAATGTTGTATGCAATGCAAGGTTGTGTGCGATGCCGAGTTTGTGCAATTCTGGGATGTTTTTTTTAAGTGAAAATAGATCGATGTGTACATGGGCAAAGCCAATGTGGTGCGCGATGCCGAGTTTGTGCAATTCTGGGATTTTTTTTAAAGTGAAAATAGGTCGAAGTGCACATGGGCAAATCCAATGTGGTGCGCAATACCGAGTTTGTGCAACTCTGGGATGTTTTTTAAGTGAAAATAGATCGATGTGCACATGGGAAAAGCCAATGTGGTGCGCAATGCCGAGTTTGTGCAATTTTGGGATGTTTTTTTAAGTGAAAATAGATGGATGTGCACATGGTAAAGCCAATGTGGTGCGCGATGCCGAGTTTGTGCAATTCTGGGATGTTTTTTAAGTGAAAATAGGTCGATGTGCACATGGGCAAATCCAATGTGGTGCGCAATGCCGAGTTTGTGCAACTCTGGGATGTTTTTTTAAGTGAAAATAGATCGATGTGCACATGGGCAAAGCCAATGTGTGTGCGCAATGCCGAGTTTTGTGCAAATTCTGGGATGTTTTTTAAGTGAAAATAGATCGATGTGCACATGGGCAAAGCCAATGTGGTGCGCAATGCCGAGTTTGTGCAATTCTGGGATGTTTTTTTTAAGTGAAAATAGATCGATGTGCACATGGGAAAAGCCAATGTGGTGCGCAATGCCGAGTTTGTGCAATTCTGGGATGTTTTTTAAGTGAAAATAGATCGATGTGCACATGGGCGAAGCCAATGTGGTGCGCGATGCCGAGTTTGTGCAATTCTGGGATTTTTTTAAAGTGAAAATAGGTCGATGTGCACATGGGCAAATCCAATGTGGTGCGCTATGCCGAGTTTGTGCAACTCTGGGATGTTTATTTAAGTGAAAATAGATCGATGTGCACATGGGAAAAGCCAATGTGGTGCGAAATGCCGAGTTTGTGCGCGATGCCGAGTTTGTGCAATTCTGGGATTTTTTTAAGTGAAAATAGGTCGATGTGCACATGGGCAAAACAAATGTGATGCGCAATGCCGAGTTTGTGCAACTCTGGGATGTTTTTTAAGTGAAAATAGATCGATGTGCACATGGGAAAAGCCAATGTGGTGCGCAATGCCGAGTTTGTGCAATTCTGGGATTTTTTTAAAGTGAAAATAGATCGATGTGCACATGGGCAAAGCCAATGTGGTGCGCAATGCCGAGTTTGTGCAATTTTGGGATGTTTTTTTAAGTGAAAATAGATCGATGTGCACATGGTAAAGCCAATGTGGTGCGCGATGCCGAGTTTGTGCAATTCTGGGATGTTTTTTTTAAGTGAAAATAGGTCGATGTGCACATGGGCAAATCCAATGTGGTGCGCAATGCCGAGTTTGTGCAACTCTGGGATGTTTTTTTAAGTGAAAATAGATCGATGTGCACATGGGCAAAGCCAATGTGGTGCGCAATGCCGAGTTTGTGCAATTCTGGGATGTTTTTTTTAAGTGAAAATAGATCGATGTGCACATGGGCAAAGCCAATGTGGTGCGCAATGCCGAGTTTGTGCAATTCTGGGATTCGAGTTTTTTTTTTTTTTAAGTGAAAATAGATCGATGTGCACATGGGAAAAGCCAATGTTGGTGCGCAATGCCGAGTTTGTGCAATTCTGGGATGTTTTTTTTAAGTGAAAAAGATCGATTGTGCACATGGGCGAAGCCAATGTGGTGCGGATGCCGAGTTTGTGCAATTCTGGGATGTTTTTTTAAGTGAAAATAAGATCGATGTGCACATGGGCAAAGCCAATGTGGTGCGCTAT